GGGGTCTCCAACTTCAGCCCTACACTCTCCATGGTCCACCACACCTGATTCAACTCAAGCAATGGGTGGTAATTAGCAGGGAAATAGAATCAGGTGTGTTAAATGAGGGGAACACCAATAATGTATAGGGCTGGGGCTCCCGGAGACCACTGCTGTAACATTTTTCTCATCTGCTTCGGGGTCAGCTTTCTTTTTGCAGTGACCTGAGGATCACTGGACTGAAATGAGTGGGCGTGCCCAGTGGACGTCCCCCCCAGCAGTCAGCAAGGCTTAATCACCACAGCTCTGTACCAGGAGGAGTATATGCAGCGTATAGATAAGGAATCTTTCTATTGGTTATCCTAAACCGGGTCATGGGGGGTGGGGGCTGAGGGTCTATGGCAGGACACATGCATGCAAGCCTCACAAAATGCTAGCGATTAGCCTAGCTTCACGTGCATGTGCATGCACTGCCAAAGCTGGGTTTGAATCCCCAACCACCAGCAATCCACAGAGTCACCTTCTGATGATGTCTGGACAAAGTGATTATGGTAACAGAGGAAAAGTGGCACTTCTGACTAAAAACCCTTTGTAGCACTGGTGTGAAACAGACATGACAATGTGATTTGTTCTGGAAGTTGAAAAAGTACAAAGGTTTTAGACAGCAATTATATTTTTACTCTGGGGCACTGGGTTGGGGTTGCATAACTTTTTATGAATGAAAATAAGTATAAAAAAATCTGTGTCATAAATGCTCAATCCATCCATCCATCCATCCATCTTCCACCTGCTTATCCAGTAGAGACTTGCAGTGAGCTTAGAGCTTATCCCAGCAGTCAGTCACAGAGCACAAGGCTGCAGTGCACCCTAGGTGGAGTGCACTGCAGCTTTACTGTAGGGCAGAAACACAAACACTCACACTGTCATACACTACAGGCATTTTGGAGACACAAATTAGCTTCACCGCATGTCTTTGGACTGCAGGAGAAAAGCTGAATACCTGCAGACAACCCATGTGCCAGGGGAATAAAAGGAACCTTTTCATCTAATATTTAGTTTTGAGTGGAGATCTGATAACACTCAGCATTAAAATATCCAGGAAGGCAAGACAAAAATGGACACCAAAGTCCACATCCTCCTGGTTTCACTGTTTCAATGAATGCTTAAATTACGTGACCTGAACACGCCACTGCTGAGGCCGTTTGTGACCATGTCCAATCAGGGACCCGAGTCTTTAAGAAAAAGCATGTTCTTATTTAATGATGGTCAGCTCTCCCCTTGGCTTCTGCTCATGGGACTTTTACTTACAAAAAAAACTGTTCTGAAGGCTGAAAGAAAAATGATTGGCTCAGAGAGATAACCAATCAGATGTCTTGGTCCCGCCTCCTCTAGTTGCTTGGACCCATCTCCTCTACAATCTGATTGGTTATCTCTCTGAACCAATCCTTTTTCATTCTGCACTCAGAACATTTTTTGCAAGTAAAACTCCCGTGAGCTTGACTCCTTCCATTCCCCAGCTGTATTTACATACACATGTGTCTCCTAACACAGCAAACAGACGTCGTTGCGATGCCTGCAGAGACACTGTCAGCTGTCTGCAGCACTTCTCAGTTCCCCAGAGGAGCGTGGTCCTCCTGTATTCATCCCAGGTGTGTGCCTCACTCGGGCTTCTGCGGTTATTTCCAGGATCATTGTTTGTACCAGTGTCATCCGGGTCTTCCACTGCTGTGCCACAGCACACTGCATAGCGACTGGTTCCCGTGGCCGCAGACGGACATGCATCTGAATCTGATGCAACCTCACCTCGGCACTGTGGAAGTATCACGTCTTGGCTGCATGCTACCGAGTGACAGTAAACTGAACCGTGGCTGTAAATTCAGCCGCATTTGTACTTTGAGGCATGCATGAGTCCATTGCAGGAATATTGATTGGGAAAGAAAAAAAACAAACAAACAGCGATGGCTGCAAGGCGGATCAGTAGCACTGTAGCCTTAAACCTGCAGATCCCAGCCCTGACACGGTGTCTGTGTTGAGCTTGAATGTTCCCTCTGTGGTTATGTGGTTTTCCTCCAATCACTCTTGTTTCCTTCTGTAGTTGAAAGTCATGCAGTCAGACAATTGGTGTCTTTAAACTGCGAACAGTGTGTGAGTGTGCAAGTATTCCCTGTGATGCACTGGTATCCCGGCTTTGGTGTTCTTCGTGCCCTGAACTTTCTGGGATAATTTCCAAACCCCCCCCCCGATCATGTACTGATTAAGCAGTTGTGATAGATGGACGGATAAATGAAGACTTGTGTGTCACAAAGGTACACATTTCTGTCACGATTTTTGGTAGTTTTGATAATTTTTTTCTTTCGCAGAACAGAATTTCAGTCAGACAGTTCAATCCCAAGTGCATTAGCCTCAGACCCAAAATAGCAGCACAGTTTGAACAGCTTAGAGATACTTCGATGTATCACTGAAATACAAGGTTATTTCTTTAATTTCACAGGCAAACTGTATCTGTATGTCTTTCCCATGCACCAAGGGAGTGCTGCACATGAAAGGGAGAGATTGACCTTTTTAAACTTTCTTTTTATGAACCCTAGGTCCTAAGATCCATCAGTCCTTTGAGTCATTGTGTTGAACATGAAACACTATATTTCCATCTTACAAAATAATCTACGACTAGTTCACTTTTCATTTCCACACATAGCCGCTGGTCTAGTCATTTCAACTGTGCTGGGACCAGACCATGGGGTTAACATTTTCCCTTCAGACATGCTGGTCAGGATTTAAAAAGCACTGAAATGATGTGGAAACGTCAACATTTTCCTTTGACTGTCAACATGTTTTGTCACCTAAAATCCGTCGCGCGGTGTGACGCGGTGGAGTGCCTCAGGAACAGAACGTGAGGAACCGAGTGAGAACAGAATCAGTATGAAGAATCGGGCATGAGGATTTTACCAGACTGGAAAGGGGTCGCTTTACATTCAGCTATATCACACAGTAACTGTAACTTAAGTTGTCCTAGAAAGGACATTTGCTGAGCAAATCAATTGCAATTTCTCAAATGAAATTCTAACTATATCTCATATAAAGACACAGACAGTGCAGTCATTCTCCTTCGAGGTGAACGTGGTTTGGGTTTTCGTTAAAATTTCGGAGTCTTATGTAGTTTATACAACTTCAGCGTTCCATCGGTGACTTTGTGATGACATTGTGGCAGATTCTATTCTGCAGGCTTTTGGGTTTCACTCCTCTATTTGCTTTGCCACGCAGCAGCAGTGTATTGTTGCTACCATGTGACATTACAGGGTGTTTTATTTTTTCATTTCTAAGACGCTTATGAGTGGTTGAGAGATAATTAAAAATAACCGTAGCTTCGTGAAGCACGGCGTAATAACGCTGTACAGCTTCAGGTTTCAAAGGCACTTCTCATTCCTATCTGAGACAAACTCGTTTTCCCGAATCTCAGACATGCTGGCTTAAAGCTTCGGACCACAGTGTCCAGAACGGTTAGGGGGGACGCCGCTGAAGGCTTTTAGTGTTAACGGCTGGGGAGGGGAAGGGAAAAAATAAGCTGACGGTAAGTGTCAGCGGAGACAGGCCCGGTTATGTAACGTCTATTTTAGCAAGCCAATTGCGTAGATGAATCGGTTTACCTTACCTGCCCTGGTTTGTGCTGTAGCAGAGGTCCTCTTCCCGTGTGGGATCTCGCTGCTCTCTGCCTGTTGTTCTGCTTCTCTAGGTTCAACGTTGAGCAGGGCAGAACGAATGATCAGCCTGCTATTTAACCTCACTGTCGCTCTGAAGTTCCAGATCACAAGCAGTACTGTCAGGAAACCTTATATAAAAATATTCATTCATTCAGTCATCTTCTATACTGTGTGTCCTATGCATGGTTGCTGGGATCTGGAGCCTGTTCCAGAAATCATGAGCAAAAGGCGGGGAATATCCCAGAGCGGGGTGCCAACCCATCACAGGGCATGCGCACCATTGACACCAATGGACAATTTACCTCGATTTACCTCCAATTTACCATGTTTTTTGACTGTGGGGGGAAGCCGGGGTACCTGTAGGAAATCCCACCATGACATGAGGAGAACATGCAAACTCTACATACGTAGAGCCCATACAGAGACTCGAACCCTAGTGTGAGACTAAAAATGCAATTTGATTTAATTCATATAAAGATAAAACGAACTATAAATGTGAGTGACGCTCATGCAATAATCTTGTGGTACCGTTCACAGAGGAAAGATCATGTCTTACATGTGATCAGGGAGAGTCACCCGCCCAGAGGTGATGAAACAGTCACTTCACAGCTATTTAAATCCCCAGCTTGTCTTTGCTGGTGCTGTTGTTCCGCACTGCACCTGTGTTTCTGCCAGGTACATCGTCAGCCTTGCGCTCTGACATTTACAGAACTGTGCAGCAGGCAGTGTCTAAACTGCAAAGATTACACAGAGGCTCTAATTGCATTAAATCCACTAACAAAATTCATTAAAAACAAAAAAAGTGACAAAATCTCCTTTTTGCAGCATGACCAAAAAAAAAAAAGAAGAAAAAATATTAAGACAGAAGAAAGCATTTTCTGGAATGTGGGCCATGCCAGGTTGCCTTAAATGATGAATCGGGAGTGGAGGAATAAGCAATATATATATATATATATATATATATATAAAAAGAGGCGGGTAAAACAGCAGAATGCTGCATGGAGGCCTGAGGATTCCAGTGAGCAATGGCATCCACAATGAACGGGCCCAGATATTTACTGCCACATCCAGGTCCCATGTGCCCAATTTTGCTTTAATCAACTCCACACATTTCCTAAATTGAACATATTTACTATGCATTGGCATACTAATGCATTTTTCATAGTTGCCTGGGCTTGATATGCATTTCTCTGAAAGAATTGGGCACTGCTCTGTAAACAAGTCACAGTTATCCAAGTCACGCTCACCAAAAAAAAAAAACAGTTAACCCCTACTTTGAACCATCCATCCATCCATTTTTCTGGAACCCCTTGTCCTGTTCAGGGTCGCAGGGAGTGCAGAGTCAATCCCGGAGGCTACGGGCGCGAGGCAGGGAACAACCCAGGATGGGGCGCCAACCCATCGCAGCTAACTTCTACTTCAAGAAATTAAATGATGATTTATTTGCTATTTGCACAAGTAAGTGGAAATTAAATTTGCATATCTCATCTTCTTTCCTCTAAGGGGCACACACACACACACGCACACACACATACATACAAGTCTGTAATTATATCTTTGTGGGGACTCTCCATTATGTGGTTTATCATTAATTTCTATTAGGAAAACCCAACATGATCCTAACATGACGACCTTGTCCCCTACCCAGCCTTAACCTTAACCATAAGTAAGAAAACCAAATTGGTCCCCACGATGTAATATAAACATAGTCCACACACACACACACACACACACATACACGCACGCACGCATATATACAGCTGAGAGTGATCCAGCACCCCTGGAGCAATTTAGGGGGGGCTAAGGGCCGTGCTCGAGGGCCCAACAGCCATGTGACTATTCTGCCAAGAACAGGATTTGGGCCGTCCAATCACAGCCGCCGAGCCTTAAACCGCTGAGCTATACACCAAAAAAGAGCTGAGTGCCTAGAATGAGAAGGAAGGAGCAGAGTAAGCCCCTCCCACTGCACACCACCCAATGGGATTACTGTCAGCTCTTATAGCTGGCATTTCTGCTATACTTGCTGATCCACTTCTGTACACCAGCCACATAACAAAGGCTTGGGATGTTCATCTTTCCTTTATCATTTAAGCTGTATCATTCTATGACATGAGCGATGTCACCGTGTTGGGGATACCGTCTCAATTGAGCAGGAGTCCCTGACACAGAGCCAACTTGAAATGCTCCTTGGAATCAATTGAGTTATGCAAGGGATGATGCTCTTTGGGGTCTTGAATTAAGACTAAAGCCTTCCCTGTATTAAAATTTGACATCGAGCACGGAATGTGTAATAACACCACCCCTGTCCTCCAGGGCGCTGAGAGTGCCACCAGTTTACCGACGACATAAACGGACGACGCAACCAGACAGCTGTCCATATCTCCCAGTGCTGATATCACCAGTCTCTCGGAGCCAGCACTCCACCCCACCTTGATCACAGACCTGCTGCCGAAGTGACTTTTAAAAAAAAATTTCAAAGCCAGCTTCCTCAAGGTAAAATCTGCAAGGTCAATTTTTCAGTTTCATTTCCTGGGGCTCATCAGCTCTGAGCCCCCGATACGTTTTTAATCACTAAAAAAAAAATAAGTTTTTTTTATATATTAATAATGAGACAAAAAAATACAAGCAAGTTATTAGAGAAATATGCAAAGAAACAAGCAATTAAACATAATAAATAAAACCCAAAGAAAATAACGGCGAAAATATGTCAACAACAGGAGCTTTATCATTCAAGGTTGTGAGGATTGCCATTTAGGGGGCAATGTTGTGTGCAAGTGTTCCAGATTCCTATCATATTTATTTTTATTTGATTTTATTTATTTTATTTTCTGAAGGGTGGGAGTAGTGTTGACTGAGGAGGCAGACCAGCCACGCTATCGATGTCCAATGATGCAGGAACACCTTCTTGATGAGGAACCATTTCCTAATGCAGGAACATGTTCAAACTGGTAATACACACATAATCAGGCACAACCGGTGCTGTCTTTCAGCTATGGATGTTCTTTTCCACTTCACTGCAAAATAACAAGGTCGACCTTCCTATTAACATCAGCGTAACAATTTATTTTGCAGTTCATTATTTTCCAAATCAACTCACTGTTTAGGACGCTGCATTTCCTGCTCAAAAAAGCCACTCTGCATTTATGCCACGTGTCACAGCTCACAGTGTGCAGTACTTTACCGTGCCTTGTGGGAAAAGTGCAGGATGGCAAGGCATTTGGGAAGCCTTTTATGAAGTGTGTTAGGTCTAATTAGAAAGTAGCAATCGGATATATAACGAGTTTAGATTCTCTAAAAGAGCGGAACCTAGCTGAAAGCCTGATTGGTCAAAACATTTAGTTTAATTTACACTGATTTTTGAAAATCGTTTTAATATGGTGTGAGAAATGAGATAAAAACAGAACAGATTTTTTTTTCAGAAGTTTAATAATCTACTGAGAGGGGCAAAAAATAGCAATTATATAAATATATGGTGGCATCATAGTAGATTTATCTCATCATAGATTTGATCCACCAGATTAGAACTGCACTGCTTATTGGCAGAACAGTCAACAGTGTTGCCGGAGAATGTCCTGACAGGAAGAATCCAGTTATATGAATTGCTTGGATATTTTCATATAGCCATTCTGATTATTTCCTTTATTTCCAATTATTACATTTTTAGCAGATGTCTTCATGCCAATGCAGCAATAGGAGGTTAAGGGCCTAGAATTTGAACCAGCACCTTTCCGATCACGGGCACAGCAACCTAAACTGCTGAGTTGCACCTAAGTGCTTCTAATGTGGTTTCAGGTGAGGTTCCTGCTATGACTAGCACCAAAATATTTTGTCCAAGTAATTAGAGTAGGAGGGACAAACTAATTAGACGTCTTGGTCCTGCCTCCTCTACAGTCTGATTGGTTGTCTCTCTGGCCCAATCATTTTTTATGATGTTCTCCCCTAAGAACATTTTTGTATAAGTAAAAGTCCCATGTGCGAAATTCCACAGTCTATCTTCTACAGGGTTTCGAGTGCCACCCCTGCTTTATCAGCTAACAGCACATGCTCAAGGTTACTCCAAGAAACACAATTCAAATCTAAGCAGGTTCTAAATAAAGCTCTGCTTAAACAAGGCCCTGTGAACCAGGAAAGTCTCAGACAGGTCATGCATCAGCTCCTATGTGGCCTGAAACAAGGCCAATACTGCTTTCTGGGGCATTAGGGCATGCAGATGTTCCGAGCGAGTTTGCGGTCTAGACGTATCTTCCCGATTTAGACATACAGCCAATGTCAATATAAAAAAAGGTGTATTTTCAAAATACTGACGTGCTGTGCTCCAATATTTAACTGCACGAGCGCTCTGGGGACCTGGGCCAGTTACCTATTGTTGTTTTGCTGGGAGAATGATCTATCCATCTGCATGTTACCTGTGTTTTGAAGCCGGCAGAATTGCAGGACACACTTCAAAGGGATTTTGTGCTCCTTTATCAGTTGTATTTGGGGATTAAAAAGAATAGAGACGGCTTTGTTGCAGCTCAGTAAATTGTATTGGCTTTTGAGTCAAATGTAAAATCGGGAAAGAAGCAGCCAGAGAGAATGTAAGTGACCACAAAACCCTTCAGGAGGCAGTCTGACAAAAGCCAAAAGATACGCCCCTTTCTGGAAGTCATTTATGGCTGCAAAAGTTGCGCTGTTACATTTCTGGCCACTTTTATTTATTTTCTGAATGACAATTCTTGCTCTTTAGGACAAGCAGTCCTATAATGTAAAGAATGTGCCTATTTTCCACAACAAGGACTTGTATTTGGTAAAATAAAATCGTGTATGATAAGCCTGCAGCGGCTCTCTGAAACTTACCTCCATTGTTAAAGAACATGCTGTTGCTTTCAACGTGCAGATTTACTGGAGGGGTTCATCTGTCTTGTGGAGACTGGTGCTCTGTAGATGTCCCCACAAAACAAACACAATTTTTTTTTTTTGAATGACTGCGTTTTTTGTGTAAGGTCATCTCCCAGGGGGGGGGCTCTTGGTAACTGAAAACTGCAAGTGCAAAAATGTGTGTTTCTCCAGTTTTCATTTATTTGTGGACGCGAGTGGTTTGGCCTTAGGGATTGTTAATAGCAGTAAAATGAAGGTTGAAAGGAAGCCCTTAAAACAAATATGCGTGGTTATGGCACGCTGCCTGATTTCTGTGAAAGATGACAGGCAGAAAACAGGGGACTCACTAGTGTGGAAACCGAATAGATGATTACAAGTTGTGACATTAAATTATGCCATATAATGCCTTTCTGGGTTAAAATACAGAAGGAACTGAATTGTCTTTTACATAAAAATAGAGAGCATGAGTCCATCCAATGACAGTATTCGGCAGTTAATGTTGTTAATGTTATATAATCACATGATAACTTATTTTGTAAGCATGTGTTAACTTATTTACCAGGGGAAAGAGATAACAGTTCAACTACTATTATTTTTTGAAAATGTTTATTCAAACAACACGGGGGACATTTTCAGGTAACAGGAGTGGGTTAGAAATTTGCTGGGGTCTGAAAAAACATGAAGATAAAAATAGGGATGAGAGGAAACTTCAGAAAAAGTGAAAATAAGGGACATGGTTGGGAAAAACTCAGACAGACTACAATATCAAATCCCCAAGGGAAGAAAATGCCTAGATTGATGTGTGGTGGCCAGCCAGACTAACCACTGACTAGCTGTTACTGCTCTTGCTGTATAGCCTGGTAATTGGATCCTGTTAAGACATAGGTAGGGTGTAACCTTATGGGTCTTCCTTTCCCTCTATAGGGCACCCAAGATGGCTGCTCTCTCTATAGAAAAGCCTGACTGTTTGATGTTTTATTTAAAAATGTATGGTAATGAAGGCATACTCTGGTGGTGAGTAAAGTTCACATAATTTGTTTGAGTAACTTTCACATGCTCTGGGTGTGAGTAACTTTTACATGCTCTGGGTGTGAGTGACTTCACATGCTCTGGGTATGAGTGACTTTCACATACTTTGCGTGTGAGTAACTTTCACATACTTTGCATGTGAGTAACTTTCATATACTTTGCATGTGAGTAACTTTCGCATGCTCTGGGTGTGAGTGACTTTCACATTTGGTTGTAATGGCAGTGTTCAATGGATAGCCTTAGAAGTCATGCTTCTGCTTACTGATGGCTAAACTGTGAAGAATTGGCCCAGAGAAAAACTTTTATAGTGCTTATAAAATGTTTATGTAAAAAAATTATTTTTACGTTTTTAAGCCAACAAGGAAAAACCACTGAAAGTGATGACTCTGGTTATGACATCACTGAGCGTTATACAGTCGGGGCCAAAAGTTTTGACACAAGTATTGTTGCTTCAATGTAGATAGTTGCAGATTTTTGCCAGATGTTTCTATGGAATATTGAAATATTACAAGCATTTCATAAGTGTCAAAGGGTTTTATTAACAATTACATTAAATTTATGCAAAGAGTCAATTTTTTTTCAAGACCTCTGCAATTCGCCCCGGCATCCTGTCAATCACTTTCTGGACCAAATCCTGATCAATAGCAGCCCATTCTTGCATTATCAATGTTAGGAATTTTTCAGAATTTGTGGGTTTGTCTTTGTCCACCCGCCTCTTGAGTATTAACCACAAGTTCTCAATGGGATTAAGGTCTGGGGAGTTTCCTGGCCATGGACCCAAAATGTTGATATTTTGGTCCCCAAGCCACTTAGTTATCACGTTTGCCTGCTCCATCATGCTGGAAAAGGCATTGTTCATCACCAAACTGTTCTTGGATGGTTGGGAGAAGTTGCTCTCAGAGGATGTTTTGCTACCATTCATTATTCATGGCTGTGTTCTTAGGCAAATTTGTGAGTGAGTCCACTCCTTTGGCTGTGAAGCAACCCCACACATGGATGGTCTCAGGATGCTTTACTGCTGGCATGACACAGGACTGATGGTAGCGCTCACCTTTTCTTCTTGAGATAATCTTTTTTCTGGATGCCCCAACCAATCGGGTAGGGGATTCATCAGAGAAAATGACTTTACCCCAGTACTCAGCAGTCCAGTCCCTGTACCTATTGTAGAATATCAGTCCTTGACACCAGGCCATCCTCTAAAAGTCTTCGCCTCACTGTGCGTGTAGATGCACTCACACCTGCCTGCTGCCATTCCTGAGCAAGCTCTGCTCTGGTGGTGCCCCGATCCCGCAGCTGAATCAACTTTAGGAGACGGTCCTGGCACTTGCTGAACTTTCTTGGGCTCCAGTCTTACTAGCAGCAATATCCTCGCCTGTGAAGCCCTTTTTGTGCAAAGTAGTGATGACTGCATGTGTTTCCTTGCAGGTAACCATGGTTACAGAGGAAGAACAATGACTTCAAGCACCACCCTCCTTTTAAAGCATCCAGTCTGCTATTCTAGCTCAATCAGCATGACAGTGACCTCCAGCCTTGTCCTCGTCACTCTCACCTGTGTTAACGAGAGAATCACTGAAATTATGTCAGCAGGTCCTTTTGTGGCAGGGCTGAAATGCAGTGAAAATATGTTTTTTGGGTTAGATTTAATTTTCATGCCAAAGAGGCACTTTGCAATTAATTGCAATTCATATGATCACTCTTGATAACATTCTGGAGATTATGACAAACAAAGGCAGCAGACTTTGTGAAAACCAATTCTTGTGTCATTCTCGAAACTTGTAAGCACACAAGTGTCAGATGATTATAACACTCCAATCTCTAAAGCCTCTATTAGACAGTATAACAATATGTGTCTTGGTAGATACTCTGTGTAAATATTTTATTCAGGTATAACTGATTGACAGAATCCTCCTAGTTTTTTTTGGGGGGGGGGGGGGTTGTGTTTGAAATGAGACATAGTCTACTATGTTCAGCTAAAAAAACCACAGTCCTCTACCTCCCAAAAGGAACTTGTTAAATGTCTTTTCTACCCTACTTACGTCAAAACAATAGCGCAACATGATACAGTGTGATTTTTCTTTCACAGTTGGCAAATCAGTTGCGCTGGGAAAGAAGATGGATGTTTTTCCAATGCTTAGGCCTGAAAGTTTGCTTTCTCTGTGGGAATTTGTCTAGGCGCAAAAGAATCTTGGCATGCAAACGTGGCGGCACCTGCTGACGATTCCAGTCTTTCTTCCTCTGAATGTAGATTCAACAGACATCTGTGGCTTCTGATGTAAGTAACTTCGGTACCAATGTAGCCCCAAGTGCAAATTTTCAAAACTGAACAATAATGACCCAGATTATTGGGTGTCTGCCTTCCTGTACACATATTTGTCCAAAGTGACCCTCCCACAACACCGTGGGATGTGAGTGGAGGATGAACCCAGGTGCTAAGCGTCTCGCTCAGTGCCAGGATGCTTGCTAGCTGGGCGCTTCGGTTACGGAGATTAACATGCGGAGCAGAGCACGACGTAGGACAGACACCTGAGAAACCGCGTTAATGAAGGACAGACGGCGTTATTCTCGTCTGTCGGGTTATTGTTTCTATGGAAACGAGAGACAATTTGCCTTCAAATCAGCCTGTTATTTTAACAGACCTCACCAAAGGGAATTCTGTGGCTATAGGTGCGACCGACACACGCGTGACGTCCCTAAGCGGGGGGGCGGGGGCGGGGCGGGGCAGGCGCTGGGCTGTTCGCTCAGCTTAGGAATGAAATGTTGACCTGCAGATTCTGTACTGCTTTCCAACACCTTCTTCTCAGCGTATTGTGCCTATGTAAAATATCGTAACATCCAGCCATTTTATGTAACCGCTTGTCCTATTCAGGGTAGCTGGCTGTTTGGAGCCTACGGGTGCAAGGCAGGGAACAACCCAGGATGGGGTGCCAACCCCAAGGGCAAAATACTTTAATATTATAATTATAATCCAAAATAAATATAAAACACCCCAGGTAGGTGATCATTTCTGTGCCTGTTTCCTATTTGATGGTCATGATGTGTCTAGATCTGAGAAAACAGCTGAAAGAGCTTCACTTCAGAGCGTCAACCAGGCTGGGAGTAACAGACTGGAGGCTGAGCCAATCAAAGTCAGGACATCTGACAGGAATATAGCAGAACAAATCAAAGGGACTTTGGACATTTTACTTAAAAAAGCAATTTGGAAAAAAAAATCTATTAAATGAAAATATTTATAACAACCCGTAACAGAAACTGGAATGGTTCTCAACAAGATGCGTTAAATTCATTGTAAGTAAAATCCGTCTTACAAAAGAGTGTTAGGATGAGTGTGGAGCTGATTCTAGGCAGGACTAGGCATAAAGCAGGGGACACCCTGTCTCTCTCTCACACACACACACACACACACACACACACATAGTCGTGTAAACATATCCTTATGGGGACCGCTCATTCATTTCTATGGCAACAATGCTTAAAATGCAGGGGTGGACAGTTCAGGGCCAAAAAGTACAAATTCAGACCAAGATTGTGTTTCAACCAAAGAGTCGCAGTCACAGACTACTTTCTGGACATGAAATATCTACCTGTTAAAATGTAAATTTAATTTATCCCCCTCCTCCCATTCACAGATACTCCCCAGGTTACGATGGACCATGTTACGATATTTTTTACTTTACGATGGGTATGCCCAGTTGTAGGCTAATGTAAGTGTTCTAAGCATGTTTAAGGTAGGCATTTTCGTCTTATGATATTTCATCCTTAGGATAGGTTTATCGGAACGTGACCCCATCGTAATCCGAGGAACGTCTGAAATTATTATAGATGTATAGCTGTGAACTGAGTTCAATTCTGAATTACAGACTGTGTGTGTAGGAAGAAGAAGGGCAATATGGATGTACATTATGGAGGCACACAGCAGAGAGAATGATGTCCTCCTATATGTTGGTTCTTCTATGCCTTGTCTGGATTTATAGGTTTCAGGCCAGATTCTGACTTTGTTTGATCATTTGCAGATAAACCAAAGCACCTTTTTTTTCATTAACCTGAAGCAGGAAGGCTCTGACACCGGACCAGGTGAAGCATTTACGCAGCCGGACCTCAGCTGACCTTCTGACTCCCAGACGAAGCGTCTGTCTGGCAGAGGGCTCGCCCAGGCTGCCTGCCACGCTCCGACTGCCATTACCGAGAAACCCTGACCTCGCCGTGTCCGTCTCTGACAGGGGCTGTATGAAGACGGATCGCTCCGTCTGCACTCCTGTCTGCTCATCCGCGAGCGTCTTTCCGCGCGGAGTTCGGTGCATTACTCCCTCCGCTCTGTGCCCCAGTGCTTTGTTACACTTCCTACAATTCAACCAACTGGAAGACAGTGTGTGGGGCTGTACACAAAAAGCAGGAAATGCACATTTACAGTGGGGCAGGAAACCAGAAAAATATATCGTCCATCATGTCTATATATATAGTCTATATATATATATATATATATATATAGGTTTTTATATATATATAAACAATTACATCGTATTGCACTTGGTTGATCTATTGTAACTGTACTCTATTGTGTTGTCCTGAAACTACAATTTGAAGTATTATATTCAAAAGAGTAGATATGACAATGTCATAATCACCTTAGATCTTTAGAAATGGCACAGCAGAGATCTGGAACCCTTAGCAAACTGTCAGGGAAAATTCTGTCTTTTGCCTCGTTTTTATTCAGATTGTGCCTGTATTCTTTCCAACAAAGCGTATTCATAAAGGATGATGTGCTCTTGTGTTTCACTAAATCCAATGACTCTGCAATCTCTCCCTATTCCTTTGAAATTCCCCTCTCTCGCTGGCAATTTCGCTGTACCCGAAACCTCTTCCGTGGCGAGTGTCCACTAATATACCTGTGGAGGACTGTGGGTAAACCGAAGTGACACCTCTATGACGTCACGGTGCGAGCCAGGCCCCGGGAAGGTGTCGGCGAGCGTTTTGCACGTGAAACGTGCGTCTCGTTGTCAGAGCCGGAGAATGGATGTGCGGAGCAACCTAGGCAATCAAACTCTCCTTCCCTCAGCAAAATGCGAGACACGGGCAAACAACCAATCTGAGGCTGACTGATGCCCCATCCAATTCCCGAATCCATCACGCTGACCGAGCGCTGTCAGCTGTTTGACCTGCGGATCGGCCCAATCGGGCGTAACGTACAGCACCTGTGCAAACACGCCATTAATTGCGGATAATTTGCGAACTGAAAGTTTTAAATCTTTCTCGTTGGGCGGTAATCCCCTCCCCTACCCCAAGAAGAAAATAAATAAATAAAGGCCTGTAATACACAAAATCCAACAGCTCCAACACATTTAACGAGTGACAAATTTGCTGCACCGTATCAGATTCCGTCCCTTAGCCGAAAATGTCAGAGTAGATTAAATCTGCTGCGGCATTTATTAACGTGTTAATTAAAAAAGCCGCTGAGATAAGACTGATGACCAGGCTGAGGCAGTTTATTACCGTGCTGTTTCTTACCGGCACCAAATTAATGCGATGCGTTTGACTCGAAAGTTGCAGTTCCTAAACGTGGGCGGCGAACTGATCATTGCGCTTCATTAATGCCGTGCATTTTTAAAATAACATCAAGGCAGGGCATTAAATTGGTTTCTGATGGCCTGTAAATTTTACGGTTGCCGATAATCGCTGTCGAGCCTGAGTCCTGGGCAGATGCCGACAGCCCTGTTTACAAGGACCCGCAGCATAATTAAAGGCCGCGTTAGGCTTCCCTGAGATGTACCTTCAGTACAAAGCTCTCAGCCGTATCTCGAGTCCCTGGAAACTACTCAAGGGAGAGGCACATTTTGCGACATTTAACCCGGTAGACAATTCTCAGCTAGATATTTGCACCATGATGGCAACCGTTTATCGTTGACATCCGTCAGTGTAAATCATTTGATGCATTAAGGACAGCCCCCGTCAAAGGGCTCGCTCGAAGATGACACTGCATGTGACATCACATTAAGTGTGCATAATGAGACGAGACAGTACTGGATGACAAATGACGGATTAAATGACAATAATAAAAAACGAATGCCAAGCTTTCTAGAACATCTGGCGATATGCTTATAGTTCTCTTGCATATCAAAAATAAGATAGGTTGTAGGATTACTTACACGTCACACAGACCTGGTTGCCATTTACACATCGCAGGAGGGTTCAGCTCTTGTATGATTAAGAAGTACTCAAGCAGTATAAATTGCCAATGATTAAAATAGTTATACAATAAGAACCAAAAACTGCAGCACTGTCATGTTTACTGTGTCTGTACTCAGTGGCCACTTTATTAGGTATCCGCAAGTGGCACCACATAGGAATCCCTTTTTTTCTCTAGAAGTCTTTCAAAGATTGATGAGCTTGGTGTTCGTAGATCCCTTTCTGCACGCAACTGTTGTACTGAGCTGTTATTTTTGCACTTGTGGCCTTCCTGTTAGCTTTGGCGAAGTAACAAGATGTTTTCCAGCAGCAAAACTGCTGCTGACTGTACTTTTTTTTTCGTTCATTGCATCATTCTCTGTAAACTCCAGACACCGTAGTACGTGAAACTCCCAGGAGGGCCTCTGTTTTTGAGGTGTTGGAACCAGCAGGTCTGGGTCCAGCAATGTTTAAAAATCAGTTAGATGGGGCATTTTAGCTGGATAATACGTGAACCACTCCTGACTGTCTGCATGCAGTTGCAGCACCATGATTTTACTCTTTACAGGATCAGGCTGCTTTTGTCTATGTAATAAAATGGCCGTTGAGTGTAGGTGTTACAGAGGCTAATTTCTTTGGAAGAACAACTCATTCGGCATATTTTGTTCATAAAATTGATTTATTTCTTAGCTGCTGTCTTTCTGCCTTTGTGGCCGTGTGCCGATGATTAATGCGCCTCTGACTTAGTTGAGATGTTAAGACATAATAGATCCGCTCCTTGTTAGGCTGCTTTCCCTCAAAGCACCACATGCTGAAAGGCTGCACTTAGCCAGCATGTCTGTCCATGTCTTTATGGCCTCTCATTATCTACTGTAGCACCGACTCTACCTGTATTTAGTTCACCAGCATGTCATTTTTCACTTAAAAGGTCAGCATGAATTTCCGGAGGAACAGTGTGACCGTTATTTTTGCCGAATGCACCGGGGCCTCGTCAAGATCGCCGGCACGGTGTCCTGCACTAAAGGAGAGCTCACGCTCCGCGGGCGCGCTCCACACGTGACGGATGCATTAAAGCGAGAGGTTAGCCGGAACGGCAGCGGCCAGGCGGCGTTTAGCGAATGAAGAGATTATTGTTATGCGCACGGCCCCGCGGTGGTGAAAGACAAAGATTAACAGAAGGGGAGCGAGAGCCGCACATCCTTTTCATGCCAAGAGAGGCGCGTCGGCGTCTTGTGATTTTTCGAGTGTTATTAAAGGAAGCCTGCTCGTCACTTAATTAGCAAATTAAAATCCTGCGCGTCTCGGCACAGCCTGTGAAGCTGCCGCCAGCTCGCGCGTATTTTTAGAGACGCGGAGTCACGGCGGTGACAGCGCGCGCCCGTTTCGGGGTGTTCCTTTCATGTGGCGGCAGTAGGAATTCGCCATGCACGGCGCCCTCCGCTGTTTCCCAAACGTTGTTGCGAACGCGCCGGTTCGCCGCCGCGTCTCTGGCAATGACCCCTCAGGCAATATCATCGCATCGGGAGGAAAGATAACACAGGATAACACACAAGTGACATAACTTAGGAACAAGGGGAATATCCCGCAGGCTGTCTTAATAATGTGTAGAAAATATTACAGCAGTCCCCCTGTTCCCACAGGTGATACGTTCCAAGACGTACCACAGATAGCCGAAACTGCAGATAATTGCATATGGACCACATATATAACGTGATTGTCGTGTACTTACATATGGTAACTGATAAATGACTCACAGTAATACATTACCAACACCAATTAACACATTAATTAAGGCATTGTACATTATTATACAGTACTGTACAATACTGTACTCTCTCAAATGAAAGGGATTCTGACGTTTTAGGCTAATTCTCAAGAGATGGTAAATTTTTTTTTAAATATCATCAATCAAGGGATGATGGAATGAAAATCTTGCTTTTTAATACTCCTCAAAGAATGAAAGAAAAATGAAGAAATATACTGTTACACAGTTTACAGTTTTTTAAATTTCGGATGACTGAAACTGCGGTTACTGAAACTACAGACAGTAACCGCAGAGACGGGAAGACTACCGTACATCAGTTGGAAGCAGTTTGTGGCTCAAGTTAGTATGTCATGGTTGTGATCAGGATGTTGTTAGTTCAAATACCAGCATCAGCTGAGTGATGTCACCATTGAGCTCGAGACACTGCTAACCTTCAGTGACTCTCTGACTCTGCTTTTTCCAAAATGAATAAAACAGTGTGTTGCTTTGGATACAAGCATCTGCTAAATAAGCAGAATTATGATGTTTTTTTTTTTAGATATTAAACACCATCCATCTATTCATCTTCTGTGCCCATGTGTTTTATTCAGGGGTGCAGGGCTCCAAATCCTTTTCTTTTTTTCTTTTTTTATTTATTCATTCAAAATCCTATCCTCGAAAGTACAGGGCTCACACACACACTCACATACACAAACACACACTCACAGACATGCACGCACACACTCACATAAACACACACACATGCACGCACACACACACTCACAGAAACACACTCACATACACATGCACGCACACACACTCACATACACAAACACACACTCACAGACATGCACGCACATGCACACACTCACATAAACTCACACACATGCACGCACACACACACTCNCAGACATGCACGCACATGCACACACTCACATAAACTCACACACATGCACGCACACACACACTCACATACACAAACACACACTCACAGACATGCACACACTCACATAAACACACACACATGCACGCACACACACACTCACATACACAAACACACATTCACAGACATGCACGCACACACACACTCACAAACACACACTCACAGACATGCACGCACATGCACACACTCACATAAACACACACACATGCACACACACACACACAAACACACTCACATACACATGCACGCACACACACACTCACATACACACACGCGTGTTTCTAATTATATCTTTGTGTGGACTCTCCATTCATTTCTAAGGGGAAAACTCTAATCCCAACATGATGACCTTAACCCCTACCCAGCCCTAACCTTAACCGTAAGTAACCAAACAACAAACGAGACTTTTGCCATTTTTACTTTTTTGATTGCATTCACAGACCTTTGTGGGGACCTGAAAAAGGGTCCCCATGGCGTCAAAATAACAAGTTCTTATTACATGGTAGGGGGCTTTTGGTCCCCACAAAGTAATATAATCCTAACACACACACACACAGTGATACAGTACCTACGGATAATTTGGTAACTCAGAATCACCTTTATATGTCTCAAAATTGTGGTGGCAACCAGAGTACCTGTAGGAGACTCCATAATTAAATATCAGAATGCTTAGCTATTTTGGAGGGGGGGCTCTCAGTAAACCCCCTTCATTTGAATCATGCATTTCAAGGTGGCTTTGTTCTGTTTGCCCAACATAAATATTGCATTCACATTAAGAAACATGTTCTGTGCCTCCTGCATAGAACCGTGCAAGAAATGTGAAAAGTTGCCACTTATTTAGCGGCAAATTTAATGTCGTGTTACACATTTGACAGCTTGTTGAAATTGCAGATCACGTCAGATAGTGATTGTAAATATTGTATGCATTGGTC